TCACTTCGGGCCACATTCATTTTTATTCACTTTTTCCAATCACGGGCGAATCGGAAATTGCTCGTGGGCCGCATTTGGCCCTCGGTTGTAGTTTGCCCATGTCTAATTTAGATAATTAGAGAGCTGGCTTTCTCGACAAACTGCCTCTCGGGGCCAAATCAGACTCTGTTGGATACATCATCTCAGAAAATTAATTAGTACAGGTACTCTAAATTTTATAGAAGGAAAAGAAAAACGAAACAAACAAACAAAAAAGAAACTAACAACAGCAACAACAACAAAAAAAAACGAAAAAAAACAACAACAAACAAACAAAGGAAAAAAAACAACCCCGTCCCACCCTGAATGGAATTCGAGTGTTTATCCATTCTCTTCTCCAGACTTATTAAAAGCAATATCACCATATTAGAAACTGCCCACATTTCGACAGACAGACAGACAGACAGACAGACAGACAGACAGACAGACAGACAGACCGACCAGACAGACAGACAGACCAGACAGACAGACCAGACAGACAGACAGACAGACAGACAGACAGACAGACAGACAGACAGACAGACCCTCAGAGATCGAAAGAGAGAGTGGGAGAGAAAGTTTTTAAAATATTATTGCAAATAAAATCAACAATTTTGAAAAAAAAAGATATACAAGACAACAAAATAAAATAATTCCTTCAGAAAAAAATTTGAGGAATCTATCAAATTCAGCAGCTTCTCGAGAACGGATCCATTCCAGGTAGAGCTCTCTCTATTCACCAGAACTGGAACAGCTTCTCCACCGGAAATGATCACTGTTTATTCGCCCTCTTAGACAACAGAAGAAATTCAAAACTTCTGCCAATTTTAGATCTGTCCCCGATAACCTCCGCGGGAAGAGAGACCGCAGACAAAAAAAATAATTAATAAATAAAAAACAAATGCTTGTCCAGACACCCGACAATCTGTTAAACGAAGCAGATAAATAGATTTGGAGTTGAAGGTCTATTTCTGGGCTTTTTTTTTCGGGAGGGAAAGGGAAGGGCGAGGGAGGTTTTTTTTAAACTGTTGTAGAATACTATTTCGCTCTTATTTTATTCTTTAAATATAATTTAGTTTATATTTATTTACTTTTTTCTTCTTTTTCAGTTACGATGATTATTTTTATCGTTTTTTACATCTTTTTTTTTTCAAGGGGTAGGGAAGGGAGGGGGTATTTTGCTTCGTCTGTATTTAACAGGCGAAAGATTTCACAAGTGTTTTGACACATCACTTTATAAATTACATTCTGAGGATCAACAGCTTAATGCAAACATAAGTATTACGTATGTTGCGAAATGTTTGAAAATATCAAAACAAAACACCGACCTGGAGTGCCAACTTTAAATGAATAAAGCCTATTCAGTGAAGATCCCTCGCCTTCCT